CATTCAACGTGGCAGACCTTTCGGCGTACCATCCTCCCGATCAGGCGACAACCACCCTTTCTTCCACTGAGTCGGACTCCTCAGACCATGGGGGGGAATGATGCGGTGCATGATAGTACATCTAGTAGTATACTTATTATTATTAGTTTGCTTATTATTTGTCTCTTTTATTTTACTATGAGAAATGGTCTTCCCACTATCCTAGTTTGCTTATTTAGGTAAGAGAGTACAAGTTAGCTTTTGGTTATGCTTAACCTTTTTCAGCGTGAGGAAGAACTCACGATAGTTTGCTTTTATACTTACTGGAGAAGGTCTTTCCTTCCTCAGACTGAAATATTATACTTTTTGAGCTTTGCTCTAGTACTATCCTCTGTTCCTCTTCTTGTTCTTCTTGTTTTCTCAGGTTACCCTGCTTCTACCGAAGTATACCACATCAATATTGTAAGAAGAATGGAGGCATTGGTGAATATTAATCCTTCTTGAAACTCTTAAGCTTGTGTTTGTTCCCTGAATTGGGGATTCCTTCTAGCATATTCAATCCTTATGTTGATCCCCTGCATCAGTTAGTATCATAGCATAGAGCTTGCGAATAATAAGGAAATGTCTAAGAAGATGGGTAATCGACGATGATCGAAGATGAAGAAAATGGACGGTCGACAAAGATCGATATAGAATAAGATGGGCGGTAGACGACGCTCGACGCCGATGAGATTGGCAGTCGACGATGACCGACGCTGTGAAGCTCTTCGGGCAGCTCAAGTAAATGCATCACTTGATCGAATGATTGATTCATGTTTTAATTTCATTCATTCCCTGGTTAGAATATGATTGTCGGCAATCATACCGACACCTCCTTCTATCCTCTCCTCCGCTTCATGTAAATGATCCCAGATCCACATGCCTCCAGCAAGCTCGACTCTGCTTCTGCCTCCAGATTCTCCCATGTCTTCATTGTTGCTCCTCTACTCTTCTAGCACACCAGCACAACCAACCTTGTGTTCGAGCGAAACACCACCTCCAACTTCCTCTCTCCTACGAACTTTTATTTGCCGCCCCGAGAAGATTTGCCAGCTTGTTCCGATTCGGCCTCTGATTCCTCTCACCACAAGAACAACGATCCTGATCGACTACCACTTGACTCTAGTAATGACTAGACCCTGTTTCGCCTTCCCTACCACCACATTTGTCCATCTTTTCTCTTGAAGAAGACCCTCCACTTTCCGACAATGACAATGAGTCATCCTTTGGTAACTTTGAGCTATCAATAGAACAACTACCACAACAACCACTACAACTGATGATTCCCTGTGATGATTCTAAAGTTGGAATAGGAAATTCAAAAAATCATCAATTCAAAGATGCTCTGGATACCAAGTGCATTGCTGGTTTGAAGCCAGCCACATCATTTGATTCAAATCAGGACAAATCTATGAACAAAAACAAGTGTACATATAGTGAAAAAATCAAAAGAAACTTTGATGAAGATGATTGCAGCTCTAATATGTCTATTCCTAAGAATGAAAATAGATGTCATCCCAAAATAATTGTGGTTCTAAAGCCTAATTCTAATGATATTCATAAAATAAATGCTAATTTAGCCTCTAACGTCGCCATATTTATGCCATAAAGTAGACACATAAGTGGAAATTTGAGAATTGATAATGATGTAAGATCAAGAGAAGTAGATCACATAAAGCATTTAAATTTCTTGGATACAACCATCAATGGCACCTTTGAAGCATCTAAATACACTTCGGATGACTATATGAATGCCCATTTGGCTACAGATGCAGCAAATCAACAAACAATGAATCAGTTGGTCACCATCCCTGGATCACTTCTAGCTTACGTTAAAGACGCTAAAGAAATGGCAAGAGATGATACCCTACTTTACATTACAATGGATGCAATCCTTCTTCCTGATAAGGTATGCTCACATAAATTATTATCAGAAATGATATTTTTGTGAGAACAAATCATGTTGCAATGATATTTTTAGTGGGAATGCTTCTTTTCCTTCACTTCATGGGGATGAGTTCAGTTTTGATAAGGGAGTCCTTGTTGATGAAAGCCCAATAATATCCTCTAAATTCTGTATATGGAGGAAGAATGGTGATTTCACAAATCAGCATATAGGGATGTGTGAGAATGAAGTAGATGACTTGTTTGATGATTTGGTAGCTAACAAAGGAAAGCTTGGATGGCAATATGAAGTTATAGAAGTAGAAAAGAAATTGTTTTAAGGACATTAAATCATCTCATGTTCAACAAAGGAACTATAAGTTAGCTGTCCGGACAACCCTAATTAAAAATACATGTCATTGATGCTCTAAGAAGATTTATTTATGTGTTGCTATTTAGTGATATACTTCATGGTGGCATTATAGCAAATGATGCTATACAACTAATGATAAAAATAATATGTATTGCAAAGGAGGAAATTCAAGCTAAATCACCAACTATTGTCGGACTTCCGCCCGACCACTTCCTAATGCCAGACTGCTGCCTGGCCACCAATTGATGCCAAAATTATGCCCGGCTGCTAACTAAAACCGGATTTCCACCCTACTGCCAATTATTATTGGACTTCCACCCAGTTCCCAGTTATTAATGGACTTCCACCCAGTTCCCAATTATTATTGGACTTTCAACCGACAACGATCCTTTTGACTTTCGTCACTAGACAATGGTCTTTTTCACTTCTGTTGCCCGCTGACTATGATCCTTTTGACCTCTTTCACCCATCGACAATTGTCCTTCTGACCATCATCACATGACTACTATCCTTCTGACCTTCATTGCCAGCCGACTATGGTTCTTCCAACCTCCGTCATCAAACAACGATCTTTCCGACCTTCATCACCCACCGATTACAGTTCTGCTGACCTCCGTCCCCTGATAGTGGTAATTCCGACCTCGGTCACATGCCGATAATAATTATTTTCACCACTATCACCAAACTACGGTATTCTCAACCTTCGTCGCCCGCAGACTACAGTCCATTCGACATCCGTCGTTAGACAACAGCCTTTACGACCTTTGACGCCCGCTTAGTACGATTCTTCTGACCTCCATCGCCTGCCTACTACGGTCCTAGTAATGGTGCCAACCACCGTCACCCGAATATGGTCTTTTGAACTTCCGTCGCCAGCCGACTATGGTCCTACCGACCAAACGAATATATCAATACTGATTCTTCCAATTTCCACCATTTAATGCACTATGTACGATGTATATTTGTTACATCAACCCAAGGTCTTTCCCCAAGAAATGGCCCATTTGTATTTGATTGCAAACACTAGTGGATTCATTCAAATTGGGCTAGGTCATGTATGCTACACCCTCTTTTTTATCTGATTGTATGCAGGGATCTTCATACAAAATTAAGACGTTAAACTTTATATTTCTCTACCACCATTAATATTTCAGGATATAACAAATATGATTGAAACTTTAGAGAGATTCTGAGATTAAAGTTCAATAATTAGTGGAAAGTTTGAATCACATGATTGAAATAGTATAGGGTTTTGTCACAATCTGCAAGAATTATATTGCAATTTGAAAGAAGTGTGTTACAACACTCAAAATTTTTCTTTAATGCTAATTATTTTAGTTGCATCTTATTTTCTTAGATTACGTGTGCAGTAATTAATATGGGGGCATGACTGGAAATTGGAAAGGATCCAGTCAACAAAGCAGTGAAGCACGCCATATTTGAACTATTGGCTCTAAAAAATAGTTGAAGGCATGGCTTTTTAAAAAGAAAAAAAAAATAGTTTTCAAATTTTTATTTAAACTTTATTTCGTTGGTTTTGTGTTACTGTTATTTTGTGCTGAATAAAACTATTGATATTTTTCTTAAAATAAGCGTATTATTTCGCAATGATATTTTTAATGATTATCAAGATTTTATTTGAGATAATTTTTTTCTGCTACTCAAAATAATATTTTTGTGCAAAAATTTTTTAAATTAAAAATTTTTGTCTAAAAATTTATTTTAAAAAAATATGAAAACTGTCTCAGATTAGAAATGATTCCGTTTCAATAAATTTTGATATTGAAATATTGTGATTAAAAAATTAACACGTGGGTCTTTAAATTTTAAAAGTGGTTAACATATTATAAATCTTTGAATTATTATAGTACTTATCTTTTAAATAATATATTATTGTTGCATTGAGTTTATAAAGCCTATCAAATTGAATCAATCTTGCCCAACTGGACGGCTACAACGACTTTAAGGGACTGTTTGGTATCAGATTTACAGCGGTATTTTAAGTCGGATTTACGCTAAATCCAGCCAAACAGTTTTTGTGCGCGAGTTAAATCCCGGGATTCGGTAAATCTTGGATTTATGGATTTACGGCTTAAATCCGGAATTTAGTAAATCCGAGGCATAGCAGGATTTAGTAAATCCGACGGGATTTATCAGTAGAAGCTCGTGAAAGGTAGAAAGTTACCTTCACAACCAGCGAGCTCCCGTTCTTGCTTCCGATCAAAATGTCTTAACTTCCGCTCCGGGTAACGAGAAAGTCGTCGCAGGAGCGAAGTCGAATAGCCACAAAGGAGCCGCAGAAGCGAAGCGTACAATCTATACACCTGCAAAGCAACGAAGTCGAACAGCAACGACGAAAAGAGAAGATGAAAGGCAAAACATAGATGTCTCTAAAAAGTTATTATTGATTATCTTAATTAATATAATTTAAATTATTAATAATTAAGTAAATTAATTAAATAATTAATTGTATAATTAGTACATAAATTAATTATCTAATTGTACCGTTCGGTACCACTCGGTACCGCTGGGTACCGCTCGGTACTCTGTGTCTGTGCAGACGGTTCTCACCCTGTCTGCACTCCGCACCTAATAATTTTTCGCCCCTAAGGGTATCAATTTGACAAAAATGCTTTACCAGCTGATATCACAAGCCATAGAAAGAACTCTATCCAATTTTCCTATTGCTTTCAAACCGCGTTTAATATAAAAAAGGCTTCCTCTTCAGAAAAATTGACCATTCCATACCTTTCAAGAATTAAGGAATGGCAAATTTCTTGCTCCCCATCGTCTTCCTCCTCTCCTCCACACAAATCATCCCCTCTGCAGCAACCGACACCATCACTCCGTCTCAACCTCTCGTCGCCGGCCAAACCCTCATCTCCGCTGGAGGCACTTTCGAGCTCGGCTTCTTCAACGCCTCCTCACCTTCCAACTCTTTCTTAGGCATATGGTATCACAAAATCCCCATTCGCGAAATCGTCTGGGTCGCTAACCGCCGATCTCCGATCACCACCCGAAACGCCACTCTTTCTCTAACCACTGACGGCAATGTTCTCATCACTGTCGGCATCGTCAACGGCGGCGGCGGTATCGGAGCTATATGGTCGACGAACACCTACGACATAAAAATCCCATCTTTGAAGCTCCTCGACTCAGGCAACCTCGTGCTGACTGACGGCGCATCAGATGCCATTATTTGGCAGAGCTTTTACGACCCTTCCAACGCTTTCCTCCCAGAAATGAAAATTGGATTACACATAACAGCAACACGTCACGTTGAAAATCGACTATTGTCTTGGAAATCTCTCGATGACCCCTCGCCGGGCGGGTACACCTTCGGCATACGCCACACCAATTCATCGGAACTCGTAGTCTGGAACGGTTCAAACATCCTGTACCGAACAGGGCCATGGACTGGAGATTTTTGGAACGGCTTTCCTCAAATGAGCTGGGATTATCACTTGAACTTATCCTTTGGCTACGAGGATGTACGCAACGAGATTTACTTCACATACGAATCGGCCAGTCAGTCTGCAATGACTTTAATAAACCTCGATCCCAGCGGAGTTTTGCAACGGCTGGTGTGGCTCGGCGGCCAGTGGAGACAGTCCTGGCATATGCCGAGGGACTGGTGCGACAGGTACGGCACGTGCGGGCCGTTCGGGGTATGCAATGAGGATGATTTTGAAGGGGTTTGTAGGTGTTTAGAGGGGTTTGAGCCGAGGACGCTGGTCGATTGGACTTTGAGGGATTATTCAGGCGGTTGTGAGAGGAAAATAGCGTTGAATTGCTCAGAACGAGTGGATGGCTTTGTTAAGGTGAGTGCGGTGAAGCTGCCGGACACGGAGAACGTGACAGTGGCCGGCGACCTGGAATTGAGGGACTGTAATGCATTGTGTTTGGGGCAATGCTCGTGCGTGGCTTATGCTATGCTTGAAGAGGGTTGTTTGTGGTGGGTTGGTCAGCTAATAGACATCAAAGAATTTGCTCAAGGTACTACAGGAGTTGTGGATCTCTATCTCCGGCTTGCTGCCACTGATTTGGGTATGCTCTTAAGGCCTTATTTAAATAGTACGGTCGTATTAGCCATTGTTAATTAAATACTCTTTCCAAAAAAATATCCTATTTGCTACGCCGCTCATTGACGTAAGAAATTCTTATGTAGATTCAGCAGAAAGTGCCTCAAGCAAGAGGAAGCATATAGTTGCAGTAGTCATCCCATTGGGGCTAGCTTTTATCATATTTTGTTGCTGTGGGATATACACAATAAGAAAGAAAAGAAAGAAGGGTAAGTTAACTATCAAGAAACATAAACTCGAAGAAATTAATATCTTGGTGTGAAATAAAGAAATAATGGCATGCGAATAAAAAAGAAAAACAAGTCGTATATTAGTTAATTTTGACTATTTAAGCCTTGCTTGTCAGGTGGAGGATATGGATACGTCAAGGAGAGCAGAGGAGAAGAAATGGAACTTTCCGTATTTGATATGTCTGCAATTGAGATTTCCACAAATCACTTCTCAGACGAAAATAAGCTTGGACAGGGAGGATTTGGCCCTGTTTACAAGGTGACTTTTTAACCATTTAATCTACTAACAACATTTGAATCGACATGGAATTTCCCTATGATAAGAAGCTTTGCCAATTTTAGTATCCTCCCTCATCTCGACTTCCATTTTTCCATGTTTCATATCAAATGCTTGTATCATTTAGCTAGCTCCTTGTAAGCCCCCATCTTTATTTTTTTCACCAAGTAATGTTTAACCATGAGCATAAATTGATTATATTGTTCATGCAATTTCTAATGTTTTATTTTATCCTCCTTCTAGAATTACGGAAGTTAGAAGGTGTAAATATGCAATGTTTGAAGCTGCTTGAATGTTGAAATTTGCAGGGTCATTTAGGAGATGGACAAGAGATTGCTGTCAAGAGATTATCCAGATATTCTGTTCAAGGGTCAGACGAGTTCATGAATGAGGTTATGTTAATTGCAAAACTTCAACATAGGAATCTAGTTCGTCTTCTTGGGTGCTGCATCCACGGAGAGGAAAGGTTGTTGATTTATGAGTACATGCCCAATAAAAGCTTGGATTCTTTCATATTTGGTTAGTTCCGAACACTTATTAAAATGCCATATTTAATTTCTTTGTCAAGAAAAAATTGTGTAATCATCTATGTGATGATGCTGAACAATCAAACTGAACGCTAAAGTTATGCTCCTTGTGGGATTTATGATCCAAATTTTGCTGCTTGGATCAAAGACTCTATTAACATGAGAACATGCAGCTTATTCATTTATTTGATGGAGGTACTAGGGCATGTGGGCTCCGAAATTTCCATGCCTTGGCCTCCGCATAGCGATCATTCTTTGTTGACGAGGGTGATGTACGGTGAGAAGAGTTTTAATGAATAAGTTTCTAGGCAAATTTTCAGATGACAAATTGGATTTTAAATAAGACAATACCTAGAGATTCACTCACATTTTGCGAGGACTTAATTATCCGAGTTTATGTTTCCTATATGTGGAAACCCCTATAAGTAGTTACCCCTCGTGATAACGTGAGAGAACCTTCAATTAAGGCTAGTCGTGGGATTGGTACTAAATACCAAGCATATAATAGCAACAACTTCAGAGATTTGATTTTGATATTAGAATTTAGAGTTTATGATTTATCACCATATACTTAAAATTGGTGATGGGGGAATGAAGACGAGCCCGGTCAAGATCCCATGATTCTGTCATCCCGGGCTGTCATGATCCCTGGTCTACTTAGTCAGATGAGTTAGTCGGCCCAACCTAACAAAAGACACCTTATCGACACCCATGGGTTACTTCGTCCAAGGTTAGCTTGCACACTTTGGGTGGCGTTTGTCTAAGGGGATATATCTGAATCCAACTTAGCTAACAGAGGACTTTATGTCTATTGAGTATACCTTATGAAAATTTATCTCTGAACTTTATCAATTAATACTCCCCCCGAAAGCAAAAAAAAAGTGAAAAGCGTCAGTGGGGAGACCGGGGCGCAATGGCGAAGTCCGTCTTGCGATCGAACGTCGTTTGGGCAACGTCGTGCGTTAATTTCCTCCATTTGCTCGTCGTCTCCTTGGGATTTATGCCACCACCTTGGATGACCCCGATTGAACAAGTTAATAGTGTTTTTTGAGTGTCGACGATATTCTGGTTGCACGGCTAAATCCATTCTACTATCAGACATCATTTAGGTGATGTCGCACGTCAATTTTGGGTGTCAGTCATCCCTTTGGACCGATCTCATCCGATTTTACTGTGATGGGTCCCCACTAAGGCGAGCTCGACATCCTAAATGCAAAGGCGCAGTCCGTTTGACAATCGGAAGTTGTTTGACTCTGCAAGTGATGTGTTGCGTCGACGAGAGTTGCTTGAATCGCCTATTTTGCTCTTTTTTTGCACATGGTTTGGTGCATAGGATTCAACAAGATATAAGGTTTTTCATTTTCTTATTCAGCTAGCAAGACTATGAAATTGTAGTATCGGTGCTTGTACATTTACTAGCCCAAGTAGGCAGTTGATAGATATGCGGTTTACATTGTTAGACCTTTGTCGAATATCAAGTGGCCAAAAGTTGGCTAGTCTTTGCTTGAGTATTTTCTGATAGATGAGAAACAAGTGAATTGAAACCTTCTTTTCATTGTGTTGGATGGTTCATTTATTTTTTGTGATCAAGCAATTTATAAAGCAGGCCTACGAGCTTGAAGTAAAAAATGCATTTGTCGATAAATGTCAATAAATTTTCAATAGAGTGGTAATTGTCAGCAGTTGTAGATATATTTTCATTCACAAAATGGTGAAGTAATTTCTGACCCTTTAAGCATTCCAGATTCTTCGGGGAAGGTCAAAGAGTATGTAAATATACCTTATTTTCATTACTAGATACCAATAGTAGTGACACTTCATTTTCCACCTGCCTCAAGCTTCTTGGCCAGAGTTCAAGGAGTCTAGAAAAAACTTTGGGTTTATATTTTCCTTTTGGTGGCTTGCATAAATAGCACTAGTGTTATTCATAGGGCTGCAAGCGAACCAAACGTTCGACGAGCTACTCGTTGCTCGGTTCGATTAAAGCTCGTTTGTGATCATTTAACTAACCAAACAAACAAACTTGAATAACATTTTTAATACTAGATCCTTAAATAAATAAGCTTGAACACTAATGTGTTTGGTTCATTTATGTTCATGAACAACATCATTTGAAGCTCGTGAACAAGCTCGACATTAAGCTCAATAAGAAGCTTGATAAAAGTTCGATTCATGTTCGATTAAGAACTCGTGAATAAGCTCGATAAATATATTCATATAGATTAATCATATTTTCATTTTAAATAGATAATTGCTTTTATTATAAATTTAATTTCATTTTATTTTATACATTCAATCGAATAAATTTGTTCATGAGCAAGAGACATTTCACATTTGTCAATGTTTGTTAGATTGTTTGTATAAGATGCTCAGGAACAAATATAAGATAAATCATAGATCGTTTGTTCGTGAACGAGCTCATTTGGTGGCTCGAAAATACTAGTTATGTATATATTGATGATCTTACTCATTTGATAACTCAAGAATACTCATTAGATTTGTTCATGAACGTGCTTGTTTGATAGTGTAAAAAGATTCGATAAATTTGTTCACAAACATAGCTCGTTAAGACTTATTTGTTTAAGGCTCGATAAACACTAAATGAACCGAACATTAACCAATCATGAACACCATTAATTTAAATGAACCAAACATGAATACAAACAATAAATCTCGTATCAAACACGAACAAACTTGAACAAACAATAATAAATGAACTCAAACATGAACATTAACATACTCGGCTCGGTTCGGTTTATTTGCAGATCTAGTTATTCAATCAATGGTGACCCTACTATACTCTTGCCATAACTCTATTTGAAACTGGCTGGATTTCATATGTTCAAACTCCTACAAAAAATATTCTATATTCAGGACAATCAGCCACCTTCTGCTGGTCTTTCTATAAGGTTCATGGGATTATTCATGGCCATGAATATTATCTGTTTTATGCTGTTTAAATTGTGTGCCTTTTCTAACATTTGAGACTTATTGCTTCTTTCAAATAAATTTTTATCTTTTTCTCAGCTATTTCTTTCCCCTTGTAAAGTTAACTAACATAAAATATTGACGCAGATAAAGCAATCAGCTCTCAGCTGGGTTGGGAAAAACGATTTGATATAATTCTTGGAATCGCACGAGGACTTCTCTATCTTCATCAAGATTCTAGATTAAAAATTATTCACAGAGATCTCAAGGTTAGCAATGTTCTTCTTGACAAAGAGTTGAATCCCAAAATTTCAGATTTTGGCATGGCTAGGATTGTGAGAGGAGACCAAATGCTAGAAAGCACAGAGAAAGTGGTTGGCACATTGTAAGTTTCTGCTGCTCTCTATTTCACTAGTGTTCAACATATCTTACAATTCCACATTTTTATATGACAGCGGATACATGTCGCCCGAGTATGTAATGCATGGTATATTTTCAGTAAAATCAGATGTCTTTAGCTTTGGAGTTATTGTACTTGAAATCCTTACTGGTAAAAAGAATAGAGTGTTTGATCCAAATGGAAGCTATGTGAGCCTTGTAGGACATGTAAGTATCATTAGAGAGGAGAAATCAATTTACATATTGGCTTTTGTTTATTCTAGTTCTAATTTAACAATGATTGTGCAGGCCTGGAGACTTTGGTCAGAAAATAAATCCCTGGAGTTAGTCGATGATGCGCTAAAGCATGGCTATAATGAGAAGGATGTTCTGCGATGTATGCAGGTTGGTCTCCTTTGTGTGCAAGAAGGGATCGAAGATAGGCCTACAATGGCTTCAGTGGTTTTGATGCTGAGCAGTGAAAGCATGACACTGCCCCAACCTAAGTGGCCTGGATTCTACCCCAGAGATGGTTCTAAAGTAGCAGATTTTTCAACTGTAAATGGTGTCACTCTTACAATGATCCATGGTAGGTAGAGAAGTTGAACCAGAACCTATTAATGGCTTGAGTGGTATGAATGACACTGGCAATGTGGCTGACGTCCAACCAACTAATCAAGATGCTACAGGTTTGTTGGGACTAACAAAATTTTCCTATTGTGAGTAAGAAAAGAGCATAAACACAGCTCATATTGGTCTATTGGTTGAGAGCTTAGGCTACCAACTAAGAGGTCTTAGGTTCGATTTTTGTGTATACAATGTGTGTGTGAGTCTGCCTTAATTGACCTAAGTGTCCCCCCAAAAAAATAAAAAGCAGAAAAAGTATGGGCTATTTTTTAAATATCCATGGTATGTTTCAAGATTATGATAATAACAGACGATGTGCGCTACTCCATAAAAAGTGACATTCTTCCTTGCTCAATAGTGCGGTACTTGAAGAGTTTGTTTATCATTGGTTCTGCTTATATGTCTTATAGGCAGGCAGCAAAATTAAGTACTGCATTGCTCTAATTATTATATTGTTATTTGATCTCTTACATGTTGATCTATTTTAATAAAGTTGAGTGTACTTTGGTTTGCAGTTAGTTCCCTGTTAGTCATTTAATTACCTTCTTGCTTGCTTGTAGCTAGAAAAATAAATCCTATTTAGTAACTGCGCTACTTCTGTTGAACACATTAACTGTTGAATTCTGAATTGACTGTAAATCACAACCAACTAGATTTATAATACTAATTGAAAATGAAAATATGAAAGTAGAGAGAGAGAGAGAGAGAGAGAGAGAGAGAGAGAGAGAGAGAGAGAGAGAGGTCGGCGAGTGCAGAAGTCGGCTAAGTCTTTTTTTTTTTCTTTTTTGGTTGGGAGCAGTTACAGTCAACAAGAGAGAGGAATTATAGAGTAATAAGATATGAGATTTTAGTAAAATAAATTAGATTATAAAAAGTTGGAAGAGTTCTGCCAAGCTCTGATGAAGTTGTTGACTTGAGATATATTGATAGTTGGTCAGTCCAATTAGTCTATCAATAACTTGCCTTATTGCCCTTTCTCAAGTAGTCATTCAGATCGGCTTTATAGATAGTGGTCGCTATGGCCGACTATTAGGCTTTACTCTTCTATCGAGATGGGTTCTTTGATCAGTCTGCTGCTTAAGAAAAGTTCTCTAGTAGGCCAACATATATGAGACTAAGTATATCATTGCTTGAAATTGCTTGATTTTGTTTGAACTAGGTTGACTTATTATGAAATGAATTTTCTTTCTTATGCTCTCCTTGGTCTGTTGGTTTGGAGATTTGACTTTCAACTAAAAGGTCTTGAATTCAAATTTTATGTATATGATGTGTGTGTAAGTTTATTATATTTGGCTTAAATTGCCCCACCAAAAAAATTCTCTTTTGCTCACATCATTTCAAAGGTCGTTTTTTAAAGGTTAAGAGCTTATTAGCTTGGATGAGTTAAATACAAAATGTTTGAAAATGGTTTTTTTTGTCAAAAGCAATGTTTTTAAAACAAGACCAAGCCGAACTGGTCGATTCAATTGGTTCGACCATGAATTTGTCCATTTACTGGTTCAGTCAAGTTGAAAAAACTGGATTTTAGCTGAACTAGTGCGAATTGATTTGAATCGGCAATTCAAGCAGTAAACTGTCGAATTGGTTTCGGTTTGATTGAACCAACTGGTTAAATACATTTAAATAAAAATTTTATATTATATTTTTTAAAATTTTAATTATATAAATGTGCAAATAAATTTAACTAGCTACCATCTTGCCACATCATACAATTTTATTTGTTGATTGTGACTTATACTTTATCCTATATAATTTAAACAATTTTAAATTCTCTGACGTGAGATTAAAAATCTATGAGAATTCTGCCTGAGAGTTAAATTTTAAACAATGAAATTCTTTGGGTTTTAAATTTAGGTCTGGTTTGGGACGACTTTCTTCTTGCTTTTTAGTACAAAAAAAAATTTTATGAAAAAAATATATTTTTGAAAGTAGTAAAAGAGCTAACTTTTAAAAGGAAATTTTGAGTCTAATTTTATATATATTATTATTATTATTATTCAAATATAAAGATTTAAAATTCTTATTGAAAATTAGCTACAAATAAATATCATTTTAAAAAATATTTTTATTACCTTGCAACTAAAATTTGTATTCTAGTTTTTAGTGTACTAGGTCTCAAACCCAATCGTAGCTACTCAAGCCTTGGGACTGATTTGAGCCAAAGAAACTTAGTAAATCTAATTATGCATCCTAATTGGTTAGGTTGATCAGCTAAGCTTCTGTACAATTTTTTTTAGTTTGAAAATTAAAATTTTTATACTAGAAAGTTACTTTAAGAAGCAATAAAAAAACCATTCCAAATAAAACCTTAATGTCATGTTGATAGAGCTTCGGGTGCATATATAATCTAATATAAATTGAGCATTATGCTGAAATAACAGATTGACAAAACCAACTTTGTCATTGTTTGAGTGAGTAATTGAGTAAATGTTGCAATACCAGGTAATGTTCAAATTTCTTATGATTTCAATATAAACTTATATGAAACTTTTTGCATTTTTACAAATTAAATATGAACATTCAACATACTGAAAAGAACTTCACAATAAAATATGACATTTAATTAGGAGTTTAGATGACTAAAAGCTTAATATATTTATTATCTAAACCTTCGTTATCTCCCAATCGGCATTGTTATTGATATCTCATTTATAGAATCATATTCTTCCTTAATTGAACTTGAATGGTCCACTTCAAAAAAGTGCCTCCTTGCAACAAAACCAGGACACTTAGGCTCTGGTAATACCTCGTTGTCACTGGTCAACATAAGAATAACAGAAGACATCAATGGTCTATCATTAGGGTGTTCTTGAACGCACAAAAGCCCAACTTTTATGCATCTTAATACTTCAGCAATAGAGAACGAATTGCTTATTGATTCATCAACTAATTCTAAAGCCTTTCCTTTATTCCATAAGCGCCATGCCTGCGTCAAAGAATATATATTTTTATATAATTGTTGTTTCACATTAATTTCCATAAAAGTATTAAAAATAATAGAACTTACCATTTCTACCAGATGATTATTGGATTGAGAAGTAGAAGAACCTCTATTCCTTTGACTGGTTATAATCTCAAGAACTATAACACCAAAACTAAATACATCAGATTTAGCAGAAAAAATGCCTTCTATCACGTACTCTGGAGACATGTAGCCGCTGCATGAAAAGATTTAATTTGTATAATTAATATATATCAAGTTATATGAAAATAAGATCTTATAGATGCATTAGTATATGTAAACATGGTGTGCAAATAGCTCTTACTATGTTCCTACTACTCTTTCGGTCTCAGATTTTCCCTCATCTTCTCCAAATATTCTTGCCAAGCCAAAGTCTGAGATCTTAGGTATCATCTTTTGGCTGAGAAGAATGTTACTAGCTTTTAGATCTCTATGAATGACTCTCACTGCTGAATCTTGATGAAGATACAGAAGTCCTCGAGCTATACCAACTATTATGCTAAAACGCATTTTCCAATTCAGCAACGTCTTCTTTTCCTTATCTGTTCATAGATTCAGTACTTAAGTATATGAGCTTGTGTTTATAGGGCCTCATGCAAATTTTTTGTCAATTTAGTAAGTTGACTGCTAAATAATTGGAAAAAAAAATTCATTGGAAGTAATATTTAGGCCCCAATTTTTTGCAATTAACCCTCAAATAATTAGATAAAAATTAATTACAGGTAGTATTTAGGACCTTACCAAATAGAAAGGTATCCAAGCTTTTGTTTGGCATGTACTCATATATCAGTATCCTTTCTTGTCTCTCCATGCAACAACCTAATAGTCGAACTAGATTTCTATGTTGAAGCTTGGCTATCAACATCACCTCATTTTTGAACTCATTTGCCCCTTGCTTTGAGCTTTTGGAGAGTCTTTTCACCGCAATTTCTTTTCCATCTTTTTTCTTTCCCTAAAATTTATCATATCATGTAAATATATAGACTCAATCAATGAAAAATGAATTAAAAAAAATTTATATCATAATACTATGTTAAGAAATAATTTTTTAACCAGCTTATTCTTATAAAATCAGAATCATTTATTTAAGCTTTTAATTGGATGGACTTTACTTAGACTTAAGTTTTGATACTCCATTATCAAGATTAATTAGCAGTGTAGCAGTCCAAAAAATAATGTAAATACAGATAGATATGAAAAGGATGAAATTTATTGAGCACGTTATCACATCCTTTTCGCTCAAGTAATTTGAAAAAGTAAATGCCAAATCCATCAGATAAATTTGTTATGATCAAATCACTGACACCTGCCTATTTTTGGATCTTTCAACAAAAAAATATTAGAGAGTATCTCCTTGCTTGTGCAAGGAGAGTCTTAAGTGGTCGATGTTGCCTTTACAACTAGGGATAAAGAAGATTCCTAGTATGAATTAATTCCTTATGTAATCTCATCAATCCATAATGCGATGCAAATTGAGTGTTTTTAACAAATCAATTAAGACAAATTCACACACACATCACATACGTAAGACTCGAACCCAATACCTCTTGATTGGTAGCCAAAATTCCCAACCAACAAATCAATGTGATCTGCATGACTTTTACATTGATTGCTTTATAAAAATAACCTTTCCATCTCCACATTTTCCTTCTTTCCTTCTATTTTTCTTTCCCTCCACCTAAATTCACCTTTTTTGTGCCCTCCTTCACCAAGGTTGAACACCCCTTCCTTTTCTATTAATTAAATTAATTTGGCATCATGGAGGATATACATAACCCTTCTTTACTTAAATTTAAACCATCAAGTTAAAAGAAAAGTCAGTTTGTTCAACTTTATTCTTGTTTGGTTCACTGTCGAAGTGAAAAAAACTCTTTAATTAGTTAGCTTATATGCCAACGCTTAGAGGAGGATTTTCAGGGTTGGGAAGATTAGAGTTACAAGAAAGGACTGCTAATAACCAATGCTTCTAATCTTCCATGTAAATTCATCACGTGACAATGTTAGTTCTCTTCTCCATCTTTAGATCTCTCTCATGGGAATTTTCATCCACATTAGTGTCTTTTTGTTAGCTTAATTTTGCATTAACTAAGGTACATTTGTTTTTTATATGCTATTTTCATTCATTTTAAGGTTTTTGGCTTATATTAAGTTCATATTGATTCTTTTTAAACTAAAATCACTTCAATTAAATTCTATAAAAAATCTACATAATTAGCTAAAGAAAACATCTTTAATTTATTTAAGTTTAATTGAATTTTTAAGTGAGAATCATAATTTTTATCATTGGTAAAAAACAACTTAATATCTTTTCATCTTCTTTGTAAAATTATTTAGGCTTCTTTAATTTGTAAGAGAGGAATAAGGATACTCACAAATCAGCAGATGAGTATGTAGGATTAGTTGACCAAAATTGGTTTGGAAAAAGAGCTTACCTATATGTAAATGATCACAGTGTATTGACTTTTGGGAGGCTTGTGGGGAGAGCTACGACATGAGGCTCAACATTTTGGATATACAATTCACTCAGAGAGTTGCAAGATGTATTGTGATAGGAAGTTGATGTTTTGGTGGCATATGTTAAAGCATGAGGTGACTGAGTTTATTTAAAGATGTGAAACTTGTTAGGAGTAAGTAGAGCATTAAAGAACTAATGTGTTATTGCAACCTTTGCTTATTCCTAAATGGGATTGGGAGGAGGTTATGATGGTGTTGACCTCATTTTTGTATGAGGTCATTTGGACTACTCTTGACCTTAGATCGATATTAATTAATTCGAGTCCTAGGATCCTCTTAGAATCTAGACCTTAGGATCTACCCTAGGATTCTTCTAAAGCTTAGACTTTAGGATCTACCGAGATCTTAGGTTAACCAAGCCAAATCCAAGGCCCAAAGGTTTTATCCTAAAG